TGAGGGAGTTTGAGTTCTCCTGGTCTACCCTTAGGAGATAGCTTTCTAGCTGGGTACAAACATCCTTGAATCTCCCCAGGCCTAGTTACAGGAGATCTCAGAGACAGGAGATGAGGTGAAGGTACAGGGGACCTTTTAGAGTGGGAGCCTTCTGGGGTTGGGGGTAGCATTCTCCCTCTGGCTGATTGAGAGCAGGCATGGTCCCTCAGCTCTCTGAAGAAGAGAAGGCAAGGCCACAAGAGGCCAAACTCTGGGCTGGGAATTCATTCTGACTAGCCTGGGAGGAAGTGGCTTGGGCAGAGGAACTTGGGAAAGGGCAAGGCAAGCAGGAGAGAAGTCAAGGGGAGGGTTGTGAGCTATAGTGTGTGTGTGTGTGTGTGTGTGTGTGGTGTATGTGGTGTGTATGTGGTATGCATGTGTGGTGCATGTGTATGTGTGGTGTGGAGTGTGTGTGGGGGCGTGTGGGGGTATGGATATATTGTGTATGTGGGTATGTGTGTGTGGTGTGTATGGGTGTGATGTGTGTGGTGTGCACTTGTGACCAAGGCATAAAACTATGATGCACTGAGAACAGTAACAGCTCTAGTATCAGTTTTCTAAAGGTTGAAGTAAGTTCAGAATTCAGGCATTAGAAGGGAATTTATTGGCTTGTATAATTGAAAAGCAGATCATAGAACAGATTTCAGGCCTCATTTCATAGTGAACTGGCCTTGTACTCCTATCCTCCTGCTTTGGCCTCCTGATTGCTGGTGTTACAGGCGTAGGCAAATGCCACCATGCCCACTTGCAGACATATTCTTGACTTAGGGCTTGGACAAGGCCAGACACACCCCTCCCTTCACTCTGGCCCCACAATAGTGATGCTGGCTTTGTTCTTCAGACTGAACTCACGTGCTCCTTACCAAGAGGAGCCAGGAAGCAAGTCTTGCTGATGCTGACTGGGGCATGAGTCCTTGCCCATAGCATAATGCAGTGCTTTGATTGGCTAAAGCCTGAATTAGATGCCTGACAAAATTCCAGTTATTCTATCTCCCTCCTCCCTTGTCTTAAAAAGTAGCTAGACATGGTGGTGCATGCCTTTCATACCAGCACTCAGTAAGCAAAGGCAGGCAGATCTCTGTGAGTTTGAAGCCAACCTGATCTACACAGAGAGTTCCAGAACAGCCAGGAATGTAGACAGAGAGAAAAAAAAAAAAAAAAAAAAAAAAAAAAAAAAAAAAAAAAAAAGGCTTTTAGGGTTAGATTATTGCTATTCCAGGAGGGTGCAGAAGGGGTGCTCTCCCTATGTGAGAACAGTGTCATCTCTTTTGTTCACTGCTGAAACCAGAGGACTCAGTGTTGTATGCTACAGTGTGGATACTTGACAGATATTACTTAATGTAATCAACAGTACAGGCTAATGCTAGGAACGACAGACTCCCCTGGGAATGGTTATTGGTTGTTTATCGGTACCACAGAATGTCCTAAGCAATTTACACATTTAAAAGTAGTTATTATTCAGGCTGATGACAAGGGCTTATATCATCACCTGCATTTTACTTTTGGAAAACTGAGGTACAGGGAGGTCATACAGTCGGGTATCTGGCTCTGCTACTTGAACTAGTAAGCACTCAAACACTACTTGGTAGGTGTAGACAGCCCATGACAGGGATTTCAGGGCAAACCAAATTCCCAGCCCTCACTTTCCACAGGCACATTGCCTTTGTCTTCAGGTTAGAAGTCTTCCTAAGCTTCGTTGATGCTCCGAGAGCAGTGGAGGCAAGAGGCTCTCTGAGGATCTATCTGACATGTATTCTTCCCAGCTGAGTTCTGAGTCGTCTTCAGCTTCCAAGCTGGGTCCTAGCAGGAAGATGATCTATATATTACCTACTTTTTCATCTACTGTCTATTCATCAGAACTTTATTCAGGGTGAGTCTGGATAAAGTAAACCAGGAAGTTCCTAGCAAAGGGTGGAGCATGTTGCAGAGACTCAGCAACTGACTTACAAGAGAAAGCTAGGAAACAATTTAAGCAGCAAAATAAAAGTAATGGCAACGGTCTATCCGATTATAAACTACAGAATCAAACAAATGCCCACAAGACATTCCTGAAATAAACAATGAAGCTTTAGAATGAAGAGGAAAGATCGTCTTTTTACTAGAATTCCAGTTAATAAATATAGCTGGAATTGGGGAAATTTAAAATAACCATTAGACAAACACACCAGCAATATGGTTGTAGGGAACACCCACCAGAGGTGGATACTAGGCTCAGTGGAAAAAAGTTTAAGTGGAATCAGTGTTGTTGCAGACTCCCCAGACACCTCTTCTGAGATGTTTGTTAAACAGACAAAGTAGTGGTTTATTAAGCAGACAACAAGCTTAACCAAATGATCAAGATTACCATCCCTGGTATTGACATACTAACATCTTTTACCCTTTAAGATGATGTCCCCGGAAGAATCTAGCACCACTTCAGTGGTTTTTACCATGGTTTTTTAAAAAAAAAAAAAAAAAAAAAAAAAGCAAAACAAAAAGGATAACCTCAGTCTGATTAAAAGAAAACAGCACACACACCCAAGCAGAGGGACAAACTGCCAAGTGTCTAAAGAGTCATCACTGAAAGAGTCAAGGTCATAAAAGACAAGGATGGGACAGCTGAGGAACCATCACAGATTGTAGGACATTAGAGACTCAACAGCTAAAAGTCACAAGGGTTCTAGAGTTAAAAAAAAAAAAAAAAAGACCAGCTGGAAGCTGATGACATTGGAAAAAGGTCTAAGTGTAGTTAACAGTCTCACACCTAGGTTAACTTCCTGCTGTTCATCTCTCAGTTGTACCATGGTCACGCAAGCTGCTAATATTCGGAGAGGCTGGGTGGTGTGTTTGAGAATGCCCTGGGCTAATTTTTGCAACTTTTCACTAAGTCTCCAGTTATTTAAAAAACGCAGGTGAAATCATACTGGGTGAGTGCTTACATCTTGCTGAACACATGGGACATAGTCGCTGAGTGTTTAGACAGTCAATTCGGATTAGCCCTGCTTTCAAGTGTTGCTCAGAACTCAGCGTTAAAGCATTCAAACCACCAGGGATCATGTTCATACACAAATTTCGATCCAGTGGTGAACGCCTGAGAGTCTGTGTTTCTCACACACAGACCACATGGTGAGTAACAGTGGCATGACCTGTGGTAAGATTGCAAATTTTGCATATACACAGCCACCAGAAAGAGAGAGAGAGAGAGAGAGAGAGAGAGAGAGAGAGAGGAAGGGAGGGAAGGAGGGAGGGAGGAAAGAAAGGAAGAAAGAAAAAGAAAAAGAAAAGGGAAATGCCAAGAACTATGTGTGTAGAGCTGTGAGCACCAGATGCTGAAGATTGGGCTCTCACCTGGATTCCTTAGCAGCTCTGGGAACTCCAGGCTTTGAATGTTTTCTGGCCTCAGCCCTGGGTCTCAGAAATGTTGGCCAGTTCTCTCTAGTCTGCCTCTGGCTACAGCCTGTCTAGTCTGGGCCAAACTGGGGCTAAGTGAAAAGGGACAGGTGCAGAGTTACAGACATACTCAGAAATTCCACTGGTGCCTGTGACACCCAGGCCTAGGCCTGGGAGCATCCATGCTCCCCTTCAGACCTCAGCCTACCAGCAGTGGCCCAGCCTTTCCTGGAGCCTTCACTTGAGCAGCTTCCAGGCAAGAAGTGATGGTGATGACATGTTGCTCCCCAGAGATCCTCCATTGCTCTCTGGGATGTGAAAATGTCCACAGACACGGAGCCAGACAACCCAGAAGGGCAAGTTATTTCTACTAATTAGTATCTACATACGTGCAAAAATGGTCATAAAGCTCAGAACTGCTGGCACTTCACCAGTCACTGAAGCCATGCTCTGTAGTGACATATTTTTGTTCCAAGTGCTTGTGACATCCCTTCATCATCCAACCCTCTGTACAGCCACAGGGTTCTCATAGTATCCTCTTCTCGTAGCATCTCAGTGCATCTAAGGTCACTGTAGGTTTTATTTTTATTTTATTTTTAATTTTTTATTAGTTCAAGTTAGGGAACAAGCTTGTTTCACATGTAAGTCCCTTCTCCCTCTCCCTCTCCACACCCCCATCCCTCTTCCCCCACCCCCAACCCACCCCCCCATCCACTCTACCCAGTAAGGGTAGGGCCCTCAACGGGGGCTCTGCAAAGTCCACCAAAAGTATCTGGGGTCGATGTGCTCTCCCTTGTTCAGGTCAACTGTTTCTGTGGGTTTCTCCAACCTGGTACAGACCCCTTCGATCTTCATTCCTCCCTCCCTCAACTAAATTCCAGATTTCAGCTCAGATCTCCCATGCTCTTGGAGAGGTAGAATCAACATAGTAAAAATGGCAATCCTGCCAAAAGCAATCTACAGATTCAATGCAATCCCCATCAAAATCCCAACACAGTTTTTCACAAACATTGAAAGAACAATACTCAACTTTATATGGAAAAATAAAAAACCCAGGATAACCAAAACAACTCTTTACAATAAAGGATCTTCTGGAGGCATCACCATCCCTGACTTCAAGCCATAGTTCTGAAAATAGCTTGGTATTGGCACAAAAATAGACAGATAGACCAATGGAATTGAATTGAAAACTCTGATATTAACCCACACACCTACGAACACCTTATTTTTGACAAAGGTGCTAAATCTATACAATGGAAAAAAGATAGCATCTTCAACAAACAAATGGTGCTGGCACAATTGTATTTGGACATGCAGAAGATTGCAAATAGATCACTGTAGGTTTTAATCCCAGGAAGAAGCCATACAGGCCATCAGGATTCCTGCAGATGATCACCTCTCCTTGTTTACTGAGACTTCGTGGGTGGGTTGTCACATATACTCACAAAAGAGTGCAGTGTGGGAAGATGCATGTGTTGACAAAGGGGGCAGCTGGGGGTCTGGCTGGCCACATTTTGATCATGTAAGTGAGGTGGCATGATGGAGTTACACAACGTTGGCTGAACCTCCAAGGATGCTTTCAACTGTCTCTGTTTTGATTGTGTGTGTGTGTGTGTGTGTGTGTGTGTGTGTGTGTGTGTATGTAGAGGAGGGAAGACTAACACTGCTGTCATCTGTCCAGCCTTGGATGACATCCTGTCCCATCCACCAGTGACTGTGGCTTCTGTGAGGTCAAAGTTGCTGCCTATAATTACTGAGGACTAATACAGTCTTGAGTCTCCTGGGTCCCTCTGTGTCCATTCCTGCTAGGGTACCAAAAACAGCCTCATTAAGGGCAGTCTTGTAGTTCATATGGAGCCAGCTGGACCCTGGCCAGCCCTGCCCAGTGCCTCCCAGGGATTCCTTTGCTGTTCAGTTTGACATTGATTCTGATGAAGCTCCCACCCCCTTAGGCCCTTGACATACTGAGTGCTCTCCTGGGTAGACCAGTTGACCAAGGACATGCCTCAAAGGAGAAACAAGCCCTCATGGTCTAGGGAGGGGACATCTTCTGATGCTCCATGGTTGGATTGCAGTAGATACAAGTATCATTTTTCTACCCTAAAACATTTTTCTTTTTTCCTTTGCTCTTAAATTTTTTATATGTATATGAGTGTTTTACTTGTATGCATATCTATTTATCCCATGCCTTCCTGGTACACAAGGAGGTCAGACAAAGGCATAAGATCCCCTGCCACTAGAGTTATAGACAGTTGCAAGCCACCATGTGGGTGCTGGAAGTTGAGCCTGGGTCCTCTGTAAGAGCAGAAGTGCTCTTAACTGCTGAGCCATCTCTCCAGCCCCTCTTTTATTTCTTTTGTCCTCCTTCCAGGGTACAGTAGTCTATGCTCCCTCCAACAATACTCCCCACCACCCCCGGCAATGCCATCTCCCTCCCTCATTTGATCCTCAGTGTCTCTTGTCGATTCTCACAGACAGCAGGGCCGGGCAGATGGTGTGCAGGCTTTGGATTGACTGTTTGGGCTCAGACCTTAACCCTGTGACTGAGGAGTTGCACGTCCTTGCTGTGTTCTTATTTCGTATTTTCTGAGTCCAGTTTCATCTTTGGTAAATGGAAGAGAGAACAAAGAATTTCTGTATCTTGGGATTGCTATCGGGATTAGAAGAGACAGCTCATGAATTCAGTAACTATTCCTAATCAGTAACTACTTATATCAGCTCCACTTAATGTCTTACTGTATACTGCATATACCAAGAGAGCCAGGGGGACTTGCTGATTGGTTGAAGAAAGGGGCCTCTAGGTGATGAGCAGGGTAACACATTGACTATTGATTGTGTGCCAGGCCCTGGCTTAGAGGCTCCTCTCATGTCATCTCAGGCATTGGGACCTCAGTTAATAGAATGTGAAAATGCAACATGCCGAGAGGTAACTTGAAAAGAAGGACAAGAGGAAACACATGGGGTTTGATTTCCTTTTCTCTTGGCTAGCAGATGAGGCCCATAAGATGAACTGCAGGAAGAAAAGCACATGCTATCTCCTGGGGAAAATCTGACCATCAGACAGGCCTGGGCTCTTCCACTGGGACCCGAGCAGCTCACTCATCTCTCTCTGTTCACAGACATGAAGTCTAGAGCAAGACCTGTCACTGGTTTTCACCATCTCTTTCATTTAGGAGTCCAGAGCAGTCACAAGTCCGGTGTAGTGGCAGACAAGAGGCTCAAGCAGGAGGACTCAAGTTTGAGCAACACTCTACGGCAACAGATACCATGGGTAGGGACGAAGGTCAGGAGTAGAATACTTATGGAGCATATACAGAGGTTTAATCACTAGCACTGAAAAGACAGAGAGGAGGAAGGAGGGAGGGAGACGGGGAGAGGGAGCTGCAGGTCTGACCCCTAGTCGGTTTGAGCTGACCTGGTGGCCTAGTGTCTCCAAGCATCAGTGTCCACATCTGTGAAGTTAGGAAGGGTAATAGCTCAGATCTCATATCCCTGAGGGTGAAAGAAAATGACATATCTTAAGAGCACAAGGGGATGGGAAGATAGCTCAGATGATAAAATATTTGCCTTACAGGTATAGGACCTGAGTTCAGTACCTACTGCCAGCATTAAAACACACACACACACACACACACACACACACACACACACACACGCATACGCACACACAGACATTCTCTCTATCTCTTTACGAAGTACAGCCAGGGACTGGCAAGATAGCTCAGTGGTCAAGAACACTGACTGTTCTTCTTGAGGACCTGGGTTCAATTCCCAGCACCCACATGGCAGCTCACAAATGTCTGTAACTCTCGTTCTAGGGGATCTGACACCCTCATACATACATACATGTTAGCAAAACACCAATATACATAAAATAATAATAAATAAATCATTTTAAAAAAAGAGGTATAACCAGTGACTCATTTTCCTAATCCTAGGACCCAAATATTACGTTCATATTAAATACCCATTCTTTGTGTATAAACATGCATCTGATTTGAATGTAAAACTTTGCTGAGTATCTCAGACTGTCTTGAAACTCATTTTGAGGCCCAGGCTGGCCTTGAACTTGCCAGCATCCTTTAGCCTCAACCTCCCATGTGCTAAGATTACAGAAGTGCATTACCATGCCCAGCTTTTTATATTTTTATTTTGTTCTGTTTCTTCTACATTTCTAGAAGCTTCTTTTAAGCATTTGTGTGTGTGTGTGAGTGTGTGTGTGTGCGTGCGTGTGTGTGTGTGTGTGTGTGTGTGTGTGTGTGGGTGTGTGTGTGTGTGTGTGTGTGTGTGTGTGTGTGTGTGTGTATGTGTGAGGATGTGCATGCCAGTCATACATGAGGCCAGAGGAGGTGTCCAGCTCTACAACTCTCCATCTATTCTCCTCAACAGGGTCTCTCATGAATCTGGAGTTAGGCTGGTGGCCAGCAACACCCAGTAATCCTGTTTTTGTCCCCTCTTGCCGCCCTAGGGTTACAGGCCTGTGGTCACACCTAGCTTTTAATGTGGATGCTGGGGATTTGAACTCAGGTCTTCGTGTTTATGCAACATGAACTCTTACCCTCTAAGTCATCTCTCCAGCCCTTCTAGTTAAGTTTCTTTTGAAAAATCCTGTCCAAAGGTGGTGGTGGCGCACACCTTTGATCCCAGCACTCAGGAGGTAGAGGCAGGTAGATCTCTGAGTTTGAGGCCAGCCTAGTCTCCAGATTGAGTTCCAAAATAGCAGAGAAACCCTGTTTTGAAAAACTAATGGAGCTACACAGAGACACCCTGTTTCTAAAAACAAAAAAACAAAAAAACAAACAAAAAAAACAAAAAAAAAACAAAAAAAAAACCAAACAAACAAAAAAAAAATTATGATCATGCCTCACTGAATTCTGGGAAAATGAGTCTATTCATCCCAAGAACAGTAGGTGAGGGCTGCCTTTTGTACCCAACCACCATAGTGACAGCTGGAAATATGGCAAATGTGCCTCAGTGAGGAAAAACTAAGAAGTAAGCTATTTGGGACAGCGGTAAACGGTTACTTTGTTCTTTTCTCATCCAAGAGAGTTACCTTTTGTCTTGTTTTCTTAACAAACCATAGCTTCTTGGTTAGTATCCTCTGATGCCCCTCTAGTGTCTGTCTGCAAACTAGAAATAACAAGCAATGCTATCAGCTTCCTCAGGCATTCGTGGGGATTGGATGAGATAATACACATAAGCGCAGAGCTCCAAAGCCTGGCCAAATGTGTGTTCAACGGACATTCACATTCACTATTTGGTGGTGTCCAGAATGCTGGCCACACTGCAGGACAAGTGTCCAAGGTTGCTGAATGCCAGCTTCCACCCCCAGGAGCTGTTGTGTGATTTGACTCCCTGCAGTACACCAAATCCAGTCCTCCACTGCCAACTCTATGAGATTGAAGGTAGCTGCAGCTGTCTGCTTGGGGACTCTGAACTAATTCTGGCGCTTAGCATCAGTGTGGATGGGCCAGGCAGTAGCCATGATAATGAGGAAAACAGCATCTTGGTGATGGTTGCCAGAGGCCCCAGAGCACAGGACACCAGCCGTCCCTCAGAGAAGCGGCTGTCTGCCCAGGCTCTTGGCTCAAATACCTTGTGAAATTTAACTTCCTCTCTCCTTTCTCCTTTTAATGGAAAACGAACCTTCTCAGCCCAGGTCCTCAGTGCCCACTATCTAGTGAGACCTTTAACTTAGTAATGGGACTGGGAACTTTTAGAAGCCCTAGCATCAAGTGCTCCATTTTAAAATTCGAAGGTTGCCTCCATGGTTCCTATTTTCTGTCCTACCCTCACATGTTAGGAATAACCATGGAGACACAAGTTTTAACTTTATTTCCTCATCCAATTGTTTCTACACTTCTAAGAGCCCCCCTGTACCCATGGGTCATTGGGTTCAGGACCCTCTGCAGTTACCAAAAGCCCAAGATACCCAATCCCTTCTATGAGATGGCATTAGGACCTACTTAAAATCACTTCTGGATTCCTTACAATGCCTAATACAAGGTAAATGTTAATTAAGCAACGGTTATACTAAATTATTAAGGAGCAATGACACTGGGGAAAGTTTGTACATATACAATCCAGATGCAATTTTCAGTCTGTGGATAGTCGAATCCGAGGATGTTGGGTCTGTGTGGATACAGAAAGCCAACAGTAGCCCTATGCATCCCAGTTTTAGAGAAAAGGAAGTGATCTCAGTGAGCCCAGGAGCCTTGCTGAAGATCACACAGCTAGAGAGGGAGCCGCTAGACCTAATTCAAAGCTTCTGATAGCTGCTCCGTTACTCTGTATCTTCTTCCCCGAGGGGTGGGGGGTCTGGCGCTCCATGCTCAGAGCAGTGTGCCACACGAGGGCAGAAGGGAGGGTGGGACACAGTTACGCCTGTGAGCTGCCTGCTAGCCTTGGCTGATAAAAACTGCCTTCCAGAACTTCAGAGACTTTTTGTGCAGCTCTCTACATGATCTGGCATTTGCCGCTGGGTCTTGGATCTTTAGAACTCTTCTTCCAGGCAGACCTGCTGGGCCTTTGAACATTTGCAGGCTGAGAAGGGGTCTGCAATGCCTATTCCAGCTGTCTCCAGTCTGGGGCCCTGTACCTGTTGTCTACAGGCTGGTAGCTGCCTTTGGGAGCTGCAGAAAGGCCAGTTAGGGGTCTCCAGAGAGGCCAGACCCTGGGCTAGTTAGAAGAGGACCACCTGGGCTTGGGTCATAAGATTCCAGCCTCTTCTGGAAGGCTGACATAGCCTTAGCTCAGAACCCTGCCTTGATAGCCCTTTCTCGTCAGCAGATTTCTACTTCCTGGGACTGGCATTGGTATATCCCAGGCCCTCTTCTCTAGGCTCCTTTCCCTTGCACCCTGGCTTTGAGGTCCAGCTGAACTACTCTGTTCTCCCGCCTGGCTGTCCTGATAGCTAAATAGTAGCTGTGGTTATCAGGAAGCTCTGCTGCTCCCCGAAGCTTGGGAAAATACCCTGCACTTGACCTTGACTCCTGGGTGAAGAGGAATGTCAAGGCTGGAGCTCGAATAGGGACTGCTGGCCTGGCAGGCTGCCTGTCGATGCCTTGGGGTGAGTGGTGGGGACAGGCAGGGGTGGAGGAGGTCAGTGATTCTCCCAGCATAGGACTTCAGGGGGTAACATCTCATCCTGGGTTCCCTTTCCCGTGCCACAGCTTTAGGGTGGCTGTTGAGACTGTTCCTGTCATTCATAAACTGCTAAGATTCAGTGTCCTGGGAACTTGTCCCGACATCGCGTTGTCTCTGATGAGGCTGGTGAACTGCCCAGAGTTGACAGAGAAGCACTGGTGAAGTGCAGGAATCTTGTCTAAAAATTGTACTGGAAAGATAGCAAAACAGTTAAAAGCAGTTGTCACTCTTGCAGAGGACCCAGAGTCAATTCCCAGCATCCACATGGTGTCTCGCAACCATCTGTAACTCCAGTTTCAGGGATCCAACACCCATTTCTGACCTCCTTGGGCACCAGGCACATATTCGGTGCGCAGACATGCATGTAGACAAAACACTTATAAAATAAATATCTAAAAAATGTTAATGGCAAGCAGACCTGGGGCAGAGGTTTTCAGTTTTTGCATTTTCGTTATTCTTGAGACAGAGTCTTGGTCGACAGTTCAGGCTGGCCTCAAACGTGTTGTTTCCTGCCTTAACACACCAGTATGTACCTCACACAAGGTCTAGCTTTGGAATAATGGTTTTAAAAGCTATGTTCTACTAAGCCTATGGTTCCACCACGGTGCCCCAAAAACTGATTAACAGTGAAGGGTGAGGAGGACATGGTGGGCCCCTTTTCAGCCACAGGAGTTCCCATATTTCCTGTTCACTGTCTTGATCCGGGCTATGAGGCTCTGGTGGTCTGGTCCCTGTGTCCCTTCAGCATCACCCCAGACTATCTGCTTGTTTTGCCCAGGGCAGCTACTTGCCACAGTGCCTTCCTACCAGGGATTTTCCTCCTAATCTCTCTTCCCTGGTTCATTCACATCTTTTTTCTTGGTACCCTTTAGATCATAGCTCAGATGTCTCTCTTTGCCTTTCCTAAACCCGTCTACTCTGGGTCATGTGACTAGCTGCATGCGTCTCTTTCCTACCTCTGCTTCCCTTGGAAGTTGAATTAGTTATCTGAGAACTTTCCCATCTGTCTGCTACACCGGGCTGTAAGTAAGCTCATGGGGACAAGGACTGGGTCTGGATTGCATCCAACACAACCTCTGGCCCACAGTAAGCCCTTAAAAATTGCTGATTGAGCCTCGTTGTGGCGCACACCTTTAATCCCAGCACTTGTGAGTTTGAGGCCAGCTTGGTCTACAGAGTGAGTTTCAGGATAGCCAGGGCTACACAGAGAAACCTTGTCTTGAAAAACAAAAACAAGAAACAGCAACAACAACAACAAATGTTGGTTGAGTGCTAGAACACTGACCAAAGGTTTTTGCTGCCAAAGTAGAAAGGCCTGAAATCATGGCTGAAAGCTCTCTGTTCTCAGGTTCATTCTGGTTCTGCATTCATATCAAAACAAAAAATAAACAAGAAAACACACTTGCTCCTACCACCAACAGATTGCTGGTGTCCCTAATCCCATTAAAATTACTCCAGGTCTTCTTTTGTTGTGGTGGTTATTGTTGTTTTGTTTTGTGTTTTGAGACAGGGTCTCTTTTTGTAGTTCTGGCTGTCCTGGAGCTTGCTATGTAGACTAGGCTGACCTCAAACTCAGAGATCCCCCCTGCCTCTGCCTCCCAAGTCCTTAGATTAAAGATGTGCACCACTACTGGTCTTAACTTCTGAGATGCTTAGAAGAGAGTGATGTGGACAGCAATATGAAGAAAAAAATCAAAGTATCCCCTCAAAGACCACCCAGCCTCCATTCCATGCCTGGAGAAATGGGTGTGCTGGAGAAGCAGGGCAGGGCCCACCCTTCAGATTTCCTCTGAGTCTCAGGGTTTTTCTGGTCTTGGGGCACACTTATCCCACATTCACTGAGCTACCTTGCAGGCAATGGGTGGGCAACTGTCAGGCCAAGTGACCATGGCTCTCAGGCCAGTTGTTTCCTTGCTTTCAAATCAGTGGCTGACCCTGTGTTGTCCCCAGCCTGTTCCAAGCAGCCTGGGAGACTTCCAAGCATGTCTTTTACAGGCCAGATGTGCATCCACTGGCTGTGAATTCTTGCCTGGAGAACAGGTGGGTGGTAATTATTCTAGCAGAAGCTGACCGTGACTGGAAGCTAACGGGACAATTCTATCAAGCTGTCAAGAACAGAAACAGTGCTCTTTTTCTGAGTTTGCTCTTTTAGAGGGAGAGAGCAATGCAATCCAGGGCTAGAGCAAGAGTCTTGGCCCCTGTGGCAGATTCTGGAGAGTCCTGGAAATTCTCATACCCCACCCCTCTCATCTCCCTCCTCTCTCAATTGACATCCCATATGTAGTGAACATCTGTTGTGTGCATATGCCCAGCACTCCTTCTCCTTCTTTGGGGAACAGAAAACCAATTTTCCTTTGGGCAACTCCACCCCCCCCAATTCCATACATTCCTTTTGGTGTTGCAGGCCATGGGATGCTCCTGTCCCTCCATTCCCAAAGGGTGGACCCTGCACTCATCAGACTTTGCTGAGAACTTTGAATTTGGGTGGGAATCACTCCGAACCATTGAAGCTTAGAAGCATCCAAAGACAGATGGCTTATGGTTGCCTTTGCCATCAGAGTCCCGGAGCCGCCCTGGTCTCTGGTGTTCCCAGGCCTTGAGGAGTGCCTCCTTCTCTGCATCTCTCCAGCCAATTCTTATCCCTCCATTTAGCTCTCTTGAGCCAGCTTCCGTAACTTGCTGCCAAAGCCGCCGTGCCTCACACCCCCTGGCATTCCAGCTTCCATGTCCTGCTTTTCTCTTTCTCACAGCTCATCTGTAAATCACTTTGACTCTCTAGACCCCCCAAACCCTCCTGTTGCCTGTTCACACCCCTCACCACACCTCAAGAAACCATCTCCATCTGTCAGTAAATAAAAACTTCTTTGCTCTCCTGGGGATAGTAACAGGGAAAAGGTGAAAGGTACTCCAGGTACTCTGAAACAAACCCTGGCCACATCTCCCTGCATGCATCAGTCCCTTGTGTACAGTGGGAATTGCTTGGCTCCAGAACAGGATCTTCAGAGCTGTTTATGCTTCTCCTTCGAGTGATATCCCTTGATACTCGTGAAGCTTTGTTCTTAGTGGAGCTACTGGCTTCAAAATTCTGATTCAGAGGGTTGAGGAGATGGCTCACTGGTTAAGACCACTGGTTCTACTGGGCAATCATGGCACACACCTTTAATCCCAGCACTGGGAGGGAGAAGCAGGTGGATCTCTGAGTTCAAGGTCAGCCTGGTCTACAGAGTGAGTTCCAGGACAGCTGGGGATACACAGAGAAATCCTGTCTTGAAAAAAAAAATTTTAAGAGCGCTGGTTCTAGAGGACCTGGGTTTGGTTCCCAGCACCCATATGGTGGCTCACAACCATCTATAACTTCAATTCCAGGGGTTCTGATGCCGTCTTCTGACCACCAGATGTTGGTGCACATGCACATGGAATACCAACACACACACAGTCAAAACACCCATACACATAAAATAAAAATAAGTAAAAAGAAACAGGGCAGTGGGTAGTCTATTTGATTCCATCCAGTGGAGCAGCTATATTGTAAGGTCCTAAGCCAGGTGTCTGAGATAACTGATTATGCTTTGAATTCTAGTTCAGTCTTATTCTATTGGTGGTGGGGTTTGAACTCAATCAGGGCTTCATCATTGCTGAGCAGACACCCTACTGTGGAGTTACCCTAGTGTTACCCTGAATAAACAGACCCTCCTACCATGGCTCCTATGCCACTGAATACAATAGCAGAACTAAGCCACCCTTTGGCCATAAAGGAGGGAAGGAAGGGCCTACAGTTTACATCCATGACCCACAGAGTTGCTGTCAAGAATTTAGACAGCAACTGCGCTCAGCCCCAGGGACTCCTTGGGCCACGTCTTTCTGGGGGAGCTGCATATTGGATGATTCCATTAAAATGTTTATCTGCATCAGGGTCAAATCATGAGAGAGAATCTAATTGGGCCAGCTTGGGCTATGTGCCTTGTGGCAAGTATAGTAATTGGCTATTCATCAAAAGACCTAGAAAACAGAAGAGCAATTTGCTGAAGGAAAAGGAATAGTTGTATGAAAATAAAAGGAGGGATAGTGGGCACGGATGGACACAGCCCAAGGTAGTCACAGACTAAATGTAACCCTGTAGCCTGCTGAGTGCTTTATTGCCTGTATGGGGTTATTCTCATAGCAACCATAGCTAAGCCTGAGGGCTGTAATCAGTGAAATCTGTGACTGCCAGAGGGCTAAGTCCCCTCAGGTTACAGCTGGGTGAACTGAGGCCCCAGGTGGGGAGCAGTTGTAGCCTAGGTTCTTTGTGTCTCTGGTCACAGCCTCAGTTCTAAACCGCATCTGTCCTGAAATAGTGCCAGTCTGACAGAAAGTCAGACTGGATCCATAGGCTCTGCTTCTGATAGGAAAGCAGTGGGGGGGGGCCCTGAAAGTCCATATGGAAGCCATTGGGAGGGTCACCCCACATGTGAGAGGCTAATGGGCATGCACCATAAATATCAAACTGCCCTAGCTGCACCCCTATGCTGGGAGGTAAAGCCTATAACACCCTGTCCAGGGTCCAAACAGAGACACCAGTCTGAGGCTTTGGACTTTGGGCTCCAAAGGGAGAAAACACCTGTAGGTGACCTGCTCCTACATAAACACAAGCTGGTCCCAGATCTTTATTTGGGGGGTGTGTGTCCAGCTCTTGGCTCTGTGATTTTCTGGATTGTTCCTGTGTCTCCCAAAGTTTCCCCCGTGGTCTGGGGCAGTCATGACAGAGGATGCCAGGCTCTGGCTTACTTCCTACCCTGGACTCTTTTCCATCAGTCCTGGCCAGAGCCCTGTAGATCCAGACAAGCCCCTGTCCCTTTTGGTGTTTACAGTCTGCAAATACTTGTGGCCATTTATACTGCCCTGCTGGGGCGGGGAGGACCGATCCCTTCTGGTCATTAAGCCCAGCCTGTCCCTCCCTGTTCAGCATCTCTCCTCATGGCCTGCCCCGGGCTGCAGCTGACAGCTTCCCTGGGACTTCTCCCCCTAAAGGTGCCCAGGATCACTGCAACACCCGGGCCTTTCTGACTGCAACAGAGTCTCTTGACATCTAATTCCTACTCCCAGGAGGTCTGTCTCAGCAACCCTTTCCTCCTAGGTTCCAGCTTCTGCTGGGGATGCCGGATGTGGGGAGGGGGATGAGCTCTGTTGCCATTCTTCTGTCTTCTCCCGTCCTGCTGGCACTGAGAAGACCTTTCCTCTGCTGGCCTTCACATGCTAGGCAGTTTCCACCTGCTTTCAGCTCATGACTGCAGGTGTGACATGGGCTAGACCTGTCTCCTTTCTGACACTAAGCTCATGACTCTGCTCTACTTGGGTTGGTCACTTACCGTGACTTGTCCAGCTTGGCACATAGATGTAGCCTCCTGACCTCACTGACACCACTCTACTGAAATCTCCCTCTCCCTGAGCCTTGCATACTCTGGCTCTCTGTCTGGGGTCTTTTTTAGCTAACATGAGCCAGGATGAAGGTCCACAGACAGGCTTTGGACAGGGTGAGCAGAAAGCGCAAGTGAACCTCCTAAATCTGGACGAGTTCTCAAGCTATCGTGCCTGTCCTTTGTCTTTTGGGGAAACATTTAAATCATCCTAGATTAATAAGAGTTCAAACAGGTGTTTTAAATACATCTGCCCTCGAACAAGGGGACTATAATGAACCTTTTAACCATGAGCATCTCTTTCGGCCTTCACTCCCCTCACACACTCAGCCAACAATCCTCTATGAGCTGAAATCTTTTCCATTCAGTTTCAATCAACACACCTTAGTAGTACCCTCAGGGAACACAAGCAAACCGCCTGGAGACAATGTCTTGGTAAACATGGAAACCTGGTAAAGTGCCCTGGTGCCTCCTTTTGTCTCTGGGTTGAGGGGCTTCCGGGCCTTTCTTCTTGGCTTCTATACATTGTCCATCCCAGCTGCTGCTTCACACCTTGCCTTTGGGGTTGTCCCAAGTTTCCTGACTCCCATCTGGAACTCCGGGGCTGAGTGGAGCATTACAATCCATCTGTGGGCTGTGAAATCACTGAAGTGAGTCATGACCAGCATTAAAATGCAAAACAGAAGAGAGGTAATAGAAAACATGAGAATGCCTCCCACTGAACAAGGACGCCTCATTTCAGTTATTATATATCCCTGTGTATCCAGCCGTGTTGTAAGATGGGCTTCCTGCTGTGAGTTGTGGTTAGACGTTTGAAAAACACTGCTTCCAGCTGGCCTGTGCTGCTGCTGATGTTTGTGTATAGGACGGTTAGTGTTCACTGTCAACCTGACAAGGTCTGGAATCAACCTCAGAGCGAAGCCTGCAGGCACATCTCTTTGGGATTATTTAGGTTAGTTTTGGTTTGGAGAGCTCCTGCAATGGATTATCTTGATTAGGTTATCAGAGGTGGGAGGACCTGCCTTAAAGGAGGTCAGCATTATTCGCTGGGCTTGGTTCCCGGACTGCATAGAGTGGAATATAAGCATAGTATTTATATTCCTTGCTTCCTGACTTCAGAATGCAAAGTGACCAATTGCTGCAAGGTCCTGCTGCGTGACTCTCCTACCTTTAAACTATGAGCCAAAAATCAATCTTTTCTCCTTTAAGTTGCCTTTGTTTAAATATATTGTCACAGCAAAGAAGAGTAGCTAGGACATGGGGCAGTGGTGATGCCATCATCTCTGACTCCTTGGGTCCTGGGACCCCAGTATTGTGAAGAAGGCAAAATGGAACAGCCCATCCTCTGGGAGTACTGTGGGATGACTTGTGGGGTAGGATTCTGGTTCCAGTGCTCCTGAAGTCTTTTTTCACTTAAGGTTCTGCCGAGGCTCTACCTTTATGCTTACAGAGGAAGAGTCTGTAAAATACTGGAACTCCATAAATGGGGGAGCCAAGTCCTTGAAGCTTGTATGAACACAAGCAAGAACAAACTTGTAAGTGCTGGGGATTGAACCCTGGCCTCAAGCCTGCTAGACAAGTGTTCTGCTACTAAGCTGCACACCTAGCCTTGGTTTGTTTTCTGTTGTGTTTTTGTTTGTTTGCTTCTTTGTTTTTAGCCGGGCCTCACTATAGCCCTGGCTTGGAATTTGCTATGTAGACCAGGCTGGCCTCAAACTCTCAAAGATGCACCTTCCCCTGCCTCCTGAGTGCTGGAAGTAAAGGCATGTGCCACCACACTTGGCTTTAGAGATTGTCCACCTGTTCTAACCAATGTAAATACAGAAGAAAGGAGTCCCTCTCTTGCCCAGTAGTCCTACAAGCCCTTGGGTATTGTCAGAATCTGCTCACAGTTTTCTTCTCTGGCATCTCAGTTCTTCCTTTGGGTTGCACTTATCTCCATTTGGCCACCTAACCTTAGACATGTCTCAGGATTACTATATGCCATTATTATAACATAGTAGTGTAAAACTTCCATTGCATCCAAATAGTTTGGAGAACAATGTCACTCTCTGTCTGTGTTCTTAGACCTGAAGGCAATAAAAGAGGGTACTAGATCCATTAGAAGGTGTCATTGTTATTTTTTTTAAAGACATAAGATCTCACTATATAGGCCAGGTTGGCCTTGAACTCACAGAGATCTGCCTGATTCTGCCTCTGGAGTGCTGGGATTAAAGGCTTTTGCCACCATGTCCACTGCTGGTATTCCCAGTTTATTTTTTTAGCCACTGGTTAACTAGGCTTTCTCTTTTCAGCAGTCTCTGTAACCCTCACAATGACCCCCACTCCCCACTCCTCAAATTTCAGGTCATTTTACTTGACTGGCTATCAAAGCAAGTATCTCTTTCACTACTGACCTCCTTGGACCAAGATGCAAGACTTTTCACTTATCTTTATTGACTCTCAATTTATCTAGTTCAGTTCCTATCTTATTTCTAGCATCCAATTTTATCATTTATTCCTTCAGCTCTATGTCATGTGAAAACTTGAGAAAAATGCTTTTCCTGATCCCCAATTGTGAGAAGATTTATGCCGGTCACTGCCCCATCTCACGCATGAGCACAGATCTCGGTGGCCTCCATCCATCCATTATTGTGCGAGATGGATATCTGAGAGCTATGCACCATCAAACTGTATTACCAAGGGCCTCATATTTCTTCAGACTATCCATGTCAAGTATCATCCAAATAGCTTTAAACTATGGCAACAATTTCCTGATCAGGAACCCTACTGAAAGAGGAAATGATGCATCTGGGAAGAAGATGGTTCCGTGGGTAAAATGTTTGTTTCACAGCATAAGTTCCCAAATTTGATCCCCAGCACCCATGTTAAGAAGCTAGGTGTGGTGGTACGGGCTGGTATTCCCAGTGTAGAAGAGGAGACAGGAGGACCCTCAGGCTTGCTGCCAGCTGATCTCGCCAAATTAAAATAAAAGAAACAAGGTAGGGTGTGGTGTTGATTTTCATAAGCCTGGCTCTGGTGGTCATTGGATGCTTCCTCCTCACTGTCTTTTCCATCTTCTCCTGGCCAAAACCTCCCAACCCAGCTTAGAGAGTTCTTCTCCAGAGTCTTCCCCTGCCAGTCATCCCATATTCTCAGCCACGGGTGAGTCCATCTATCCTTGGACCCATGCACTAAACAGTTGTTGCCTTTCTTCTATCCTGCAAGCACAGGGGAGTGGGGAGGATAGGGGATGGAAGTGAAAGACAGACAGGGGTTATCCTCAACCTTATTCTTCAACATGTCCACTAAAGGGGTGCTTAAGAAACAATGGCATGGGGTACTAGCTGTGCTTCCCATTGGCTTGTCAATCTTACCTGTCTGTGGAGCCAGGCTGTGAGGGAAGCTTCAGAATGTGCACATTGCCAAAGGCATGACACAATGTCAACAGCAGGAGCTGGTGAGATTGCAGAGGGACCCGCAGCCAAGCAAGAGTGAGACTTGCACAGGAGCCTGAGGCTGCATCCCCAGAGGGGCCAAGTGCAAAAGCAAAGCATTCAGACTATGTTTAGAAGGGAGAGGTATCTGGGAACAGGCTAAAGAAGAAAGAGACACAGTCTGGGTGTTGGGTCCTCCCATTTCTGTAAAACTGGAGAGTCCTCCGTGGGGCAGGCTGTTCGGAAGCAGGGTTGGGGTTGCTTTAAGCATAGCAAGCTCCCTGGCTTTATGTCCATGGATGTTTACTTGGATGACTTTGGGAGAGTTAATGGAGATTTAAGGACACCCTGCTTCTTCCCCCTAGTACTGACTCTTTACTATTACCTGGAGATATCACGAGTTGGTAGAACCCAGATTGATGGTCTGCACACTCCATGGATGGCTGGTGACTGGGATGTGGAATAGGTCCCTTTTTTCTGAAAGATTGTAGCAGGCTTTCTTTTGGGCCACCAACCAGCTCCCAAATTATGATGCAGAGACTTCTTATTAGTTATGAATGCTCTGCCTTAGCGTAGGCTCTTATAACTTAACCCATTTCTCTTTATCTATTGCCTCAGAATTTTTTGTTTGTTTTTACCTTTCTTTTCTTCTGTATGTCTTACTTTCACTGCTTCTCGTGTCTAGCTGGCTGATGGCTGCCTGGCTTCTGGCACTGGACATGTCCCTCTTTTTCTCCCGTGTTCTCTCTTCTTCTCTTCCCTTCTCCCGAGCCTAGATTTCTCCTCCTAATTATTCTTTCTGCCAGCCAGCCCCACCTATCCCTCTCCTGCCTAGTTATTAACCATTCAGCTTTTTATTAGAACAATCAGGTGCCTTAGACAGACAAGGTGGAACAAATACAACAGGTGTTTACATAATTAAACAAATGCAGCACAAACAAATGCAACACACCGTTACACAGTTAAAGTAATATTCTGTAGCATAAACAGATCTAACACATCTTTACATAGGTAAATATTCCACAACAGGAAATTGCTAGAGTTAAGATCTCTATTTATTGACCAGAGCTTACCAGAAACACTCCCTCATCAACCCCAACCTTGCATGGTTAGCAGTTTTCAGGAAACCTGGGAAACTGTATTAATTTCCTGGTTGCTGTGCTCACCATGTCATTGTGACTAAAACACCCAAGAGAACAACTTCAAGGAGGGAAGGTTTATTTTGGTTCACAGTTTCAGATGGTTCTGCCATATACTGCTTAAGTCCCATGTACTTAAGCAGATCATCGTGGTGTCTGGAACAGATGTCAGAAGAGGTTCATCACTTTATAGTGGGCTGGAAGCCAAGAGAAAGGGGTAGAGTGGCAAGGGACCAGGGGCAGTAGGTATAATCTCCATGGCACGCTTCTAGGGACCCACTTCCAGCTGGACACCATCTCCTAAAGTTTCCACAACTTTCCCAGCAGTACCACCCGCAGGGGACCAGGTGTCCAGCACATGAGCCTATGGGAAAATTCATATTCAAACTGTAACACTATTGCACAGGGAGTGAAGATACCCTAGCTATCTATCTCCATTGCCTAGCATAGTGCCTGGTCCTCAGAAACTCTGTGGAGTAAAAGGGGGAGCTAGTCAAATGGGGGTAGCTTCAGACAGAAGCAGGGACATCTCAGCGTGCCTGAGGGAACTATTAAGACAGGATGCTATGGGCACAAGCTTTCAACAGCATGACGGGAGTGGGCAGTGTCTCTGGGGAGGTTCTCCACGGAGAACCAGAAATGGGGCTGTTTTTCCTCTGTCACCACGGACCCTTCCTGTGTTTTGAGGACTACAAGAGTGGGACACTGACAGCTTATCTCCATGGTGTTCTCTCTGGCTCTTCACCCCCTTATGCTCCAGCATCTTTGGCACATACACTTGCCATCAGATTCCCAGGCCCTGAGGCCCCACTGTGACGTGCTCAGAGACTCCTGGCCTCCCGTGCCCAGACAGTCAAATAGTTCCCAGATTTCCCTGGGAGTTGAAAGTGAAAGAGCTGAAAGGCTTGGGGTCAGAAGACCCTAACTCAAGGGCTAGTTGCTGCCAAAATCAGCCATGGGACCTTGGACAAGCTTGTCTCCCTATTTTGGGCCTCAGTTTCCTGAACCATAAGTTAACAACTTTGGCTGCTTGTTCTCCTAAGGAAGTTCCCCCCTGCAGGCACGTTCCCTGAACCCTCCAGTTCTTGGCTGCATAACCCTTGTCTGTCTGCTCCTCAAATATAAATTTTTGTGTTGACAGGGATTTGAATTTGTATATATAGAAAAGGCTGAGTCCCAGGAATGGGGGAGAGCAGGTCAGGGAGCCCATTAGAGGCAAATGCAAGGCCAGACCAAGGACGTTTACTTCCTGTAACCATCTGACTTTGGTCTAGACTACCTGGAACAGAAGAAACCTTTGCTCCCAAGCTGCCCAAGTGTTCTACATGATTGGCATGAGGTGTGGTGGCCTTTAGTCTTCTTAAGAGCATCAGCTCAGGGCTGTGCACCTTTCAAGCCTACCTTGAGGGCCAACTAATCTAGACCAAACCCAAGCCTGGAGACCCATGCTCCAGCCTTCTCTGTTACTGACTAGCCAGGCATTATACTTCTCTGGTTTTATTGTTCTCTGCTTCTATAATTGTTCCTGGAATGTAACCTCTAGAGAACAGAGATTTGCCTGCTGTATCTGAATTCTAGGTTTGGACTTTCAAAACCTCGACTCCTAAGTCAAATTCTCAGAGAGAACATATAATCCATCCCACGATGTCTGTATTTGAGTCATAGAAGTCCATAGGTCACCAATCAATGAAAAGGCTGCTTTCAGGGTGGTGGCTCATACCTGCTCCAGTCCCTTGTGGTCTGGGCTGTTATGCCACTGGCAATATATAGTTGGTTTTTCTAGGAGCTGTGTATAGAAAGACATCTCTGGTTTATTGGTGAGGAATCTGGCTCCAAGAGTCACTTAGCTCATGCTGTGACTATGGTAAATGATCATGTTGAGGTTAGCTCTGTGATCTTCCTCTCCTCCAGTGTCAGCAGCTGTGGACTGGCGTGCACAGGGTATAGTGAAGAACATAGAACCTTAGTGCCGCAAGCTTTCTAGATGGAAGGAGCACTCCAGGAAATTTTTGGAACAGACGGCCTTTGAGATAAAGAGCAGGGATGGCAGGGAACATTTCAGGTGAAAGAAGTTATGTGTGCTAAGATATTTGGGTGGGCGGGGCGGGGGGAATGGGGAAGAGATTTTGAGTAATCGGATGTGATGAGTTTGAGCATAAATAGAAGAGAAGGGTCTGATATGAGACAAGCTTATGGGCCAGCCCCAGTAAAAAGTTTGGGCTTGTTTGAGGAAGTAGTGGTGGCGGGGGGGGGG